GAAAACGGTCTGAATATTATTGGCGCGTCTACACTGTGACTCCCGCCAGAAATATACGGACCGATACCGGTCCAAATATGTTCATCAGTATATTTTCCCCCACCGGAATATATTCAGACCGATATTGGTTCGAATATTTATTTTTTCGGACCGACACGTGTCAGTCCGTATATGATCGGTTTGCATACGTCATTTTTCTAGTAGTGATACTCTCATTTTTACTTTTAAAAGAAATTATTTTAGTCTTTTTATTGGGAATTTATTAAAATGATATAATTTTGAGATTTCTTTCTTTTTAATTATTTAGAGTTTTGGTTGACAAACACTTTATATATATATATATATATATATGAGGAGAGATCCATTCAAATACAAATCACACCACACATACACAAAATCTCAATCATTCATCTTTTCAATCATTCATCTTTTCAATTACAATGGTTGAGATTTTATTCACATTTATTAAATACAATTATTTTTTTCATCTAAAAAGTCATGATATATTTCAGCTATTGAAAGTGAAGAGATAAATTGTTAAGATTTTATATGAGTGTGGAGCGAAATATTTATATATAACTGGATCCTTTCTCATATATATATTTGAGATTAATGGGTATCTGCAAGTATTGTTTACAAGAAATTAGGTGGAAAACACCACAAGTAAAAACTAAAATAACCTCGTTCATGCTTTAAAAATTAGGTATTTTAATCCTTTTTAATGAAACTTTATTAAAATGACGTAATTTTGAAATATTTTTTTACTTAATTTTTTGTAATACAGGTTGATGCCCACTTTTCTATATATAAATACAAAAATTATTAAGAAAAATAAATTTCTAATATTTACCTTAAGTAGAATAAGAATTCAAAACCACCTCCCCTACTATGAGATTCTTATACTAATTACTAGGCTAATCTTCTTCCTCTTTGTTATGATCTTTTAGTCATGTTTTTTCGATCCTAATTTCACCTTTCTTCATCTTACTCATCTAGATTTTATATTTCATAATGTATTATTTTTTAGATATTCTAAGTATATAATTCTCTACTTCTATCATTTCTCCCTTCTCCTCTCGTTATTATCATTTCGATAAACATCAATCCTACACGTCCATCCTCTCAAATTTTCAACCTTTTCCCCTTTTTTCAAGGGTTCATCTCCATGTCCCTTAAGATTTGAGATTAGGAAAATCGTTTCCATTATATCTGAGATGAGCAAAACAGATTCATTCAAATTTGGGGTGAGAAGAACCAACATCTTCACATCTAAAATGAAGAAAAGCCTTCCCTTTAGATTTGAGATGAGAAAAACTAATAATATTTAGATTTACAGATAGGTATCCTATTACTTTCTTTATAAGTGATACGTGTATATTTCTTTAATCTATTAAGAAAATTAAGAGGAGAAAAAAAAAATAATATTGAATGCAAGACAAAATAGAAAAATGCGAGCATATTAGGATATTTTGAAGATTTAAACATCGAAATCATATTTTTACTTTCAATCAAGAACAATTAGTAAGAAAAATGGATTGCTGATAATTACCTTCACAAATAAAATTTCAAGCTTCCTCTTCTGTGCTGAAATTGTTATATGAAGCCAATCTTCTTCCATTTTTTATGATCTTTCAATCTATTCCTATCCATCGATAACTGCTCATTTATTTCACCTGTCTAGATTTTATACTTCATACACTACTAAAAATTTGACTTTTTTCAACCAATTATTTTCCAGGACAAATTGCATTGGAAAATTTTCCAATGCCGAATGCTGGAAATTAAAGTTTATTAGAAATTATCTAAAATTTACAAATAATTTTTAAATAATACTCATTTTCTAGCACCGAGTGCTGGAAAATAATTTAGTGCCATAATTTGGTTTGGCATCTTCTTATTTTCCAATGCAAAGCGTTGAAAAATAATGTTTTTTTTGCTACTGATAGAAAAAACTTTCAAAAATAAAAAGAAAAATATTTTTTTTTTTACGTTTTTTTCAAGCACAAAACACCAAAAAATGTTTAGAACCGTCAAAGTTAAATGATAGAAATGGGGTGCAGGTTATTTTCTAGTGCCAAGCATTGGAAAATAATCCTACCCAAATTGTATAGGTTATTTTCCAACACCAAGCATTGGAAAATAAGATAGAAATAGGGTACAGGTTATTTTCCAGTGTTAAGCACTGAAAAATAATCTTGCCCAAATTCTACATGTTATTTTCCAATGCTTGGCGTTGGAAAATACTCCTGTCCAATTAAGGCAATTGATTCAAGTTATTTTTTAGTGCTTGGCATTGGAAAATACTCCAGTCTAATTGAGTCAAGTTATTGGTGTTGAAAAATAAGTTTATTAAGAAATTTAGAAACCAGATATTTAAATATCTTTCTTTTCAAAATATAAACTCATGCCTATATTTTTTTTCCAATGCATAATTTTATTTAAAGTTTAAAATCCAATGTTCAAATGCCATTTTTTCCTTGTAAAATTTTCAAAATCCCACCCACATTATTTTCCAATGTGGACCCATGGAAAATAATACTTATCTATATAAACTTCCAACCTTCCCTTCCTTAGCATTTTCTCCCATCTTCTTCTTTCTTCTCTTTCATTTTTCTCATCCCTTATCTAAATTCACTTTCATTTTTCTCCTCTCTTCCTTTACCCCACTCATATATTTCACTTTCTCATCTTAATCTTCCCTTTCCTCTTCTCTCTATTTCCTCTTCCTTTTCCTTTTCCATTTCATCTTCATTTTTTCTACTTTCCTTCTTGCTTTTCTCTTGTTCTCTCCATTCCTATTCCTTTTCCTCTTCCTCTTCCTTTAATATTTTATTTGAAATAAGAGGTACTATTCATTTCAATTTATTGATTGTATAATTTGAAATTTTCTTTATATTTTTTCTTTATCAATAAACTCTCATATATATTACTAATTAATTTTTTTATATATTTTAGGTGTTTTTATGAATTACATGAAATTGAGGTATATTTATGTATTTAATTTCATTAATTTTTGTCAATATTTATTATATTATATGTATTATGTAATGTTTTATATAAAATTATGTTTATAAAGTAAATATATTAAATATAATTGTTTATGTGTAATTAATTTTAATATATTATAAAGTAATGTTTTATCATTAACATTTTATCTATTTAATTTCTTTAATTTTAATTATTATATAAGTTGTATGTTTATTTAGTGTGTGTTTTAGATTTATATATATAATCTTGATTAGTATATATAATATTGTTTTATGGTTAAATTTATTCATCTTAAATATTATTTTGTATTTACAAATATTTACTAATTGTATATAATCATAGTAATGTACAAATATATTTTTTTTTAATTTTCTGGACATTACATTGGAAAATAATAACTATATATCCCTCTAAGGTAAGAACTATTTTCCAGTGCTTCGCGCTGGAAAATAAGTGGTAATGGCAAGTTAAAACATATTATGAGTTTGTTGTTATCCATTATTTCCCAGCGCTAAGTGTTGGAAAATATTAGTAACTTTTTCCAACGCATTTTTTTGCCCTAAAAAATAACTATTTGGCATGTGTATTTTTTTCCATCAACATTTTCCAATGCAAAGTAGCGCATTTTAAGTATTTTCCAATGCAAAATGTGTTAGAAAATAGCCTTTTTTGTAGTAGTGATAGCATTTGCTTTTAGAGTATTCATAAGATTTAATACTCTACTTCTTCACTTTTGCTTTCACAAATCTAGATTTGGGGCCCGAAAAATCATTCCTCACTACTAAAAATTTTCACTTTTAGCAACAATATATCAGCACCATGGGTGGCCTTGTCTGTGACATAGATTTTCACCGACAAGGACTATGTTGCTGAAAGTTATATAGTACACTCTCTTACCTAAAAGGCTACTCCACCTTTAGTAACAACGGGTATGTTGCTGAAAGTAAATTTCAGTAACATACCCCATTTTACTGAAATATTTCGACCACCACACACTACACATTATCCACCTAAAAGTGAGCTCCACTTTCAGCAGCATGTTTCTTGTTGCTGAAAATGAATTTCAACAAGGAACATGTTGCTGAAAATTTTCCAAGCACCTAAAGCATTAGCAACATATACCATGTTGCTGTTATTCTTATATTTTTACCAACCAAAAATCAGCACCAAGAAATATGTTGCTGATATTACCACGTTGATCGTTAGTTAGCCAAGGCCATTATATAGACACCTTTCTCCAGCCATTATATATACACCCTTACCACTTCTTAATTTTGTGCTATTTGTTCCTTACTCTCTCAATTCAATTTGTTTATTTCATCCATCACATTATTATTATTATTTAAAATTAATTATTTTATAAATTTCAAAACTCTTTTTACTATTACTTTATTAATAAATATTTTCCTAATTTATGTACAACAAACTTCTTTTTCTACTTTGATAGCCAACATGATGGTATAATTTCTTTTTCCATTTCCCTCCCTTTATTT